GGCCACCTCCTCAACTGTCTCTCCACCAGCCCCCGCCTGCGTCCTGCCCTTCCTCTATGCACCTTGCCAAACTGGAGTCTGGTTGCTCAGAGCTCACCTCCTGCTTCTGCTGTTTTGCTTCAAGATGGTGCCTCCTCAACAACTACTAAGGACTGGGCTCACTGGAGCCAGCTGGTGCCAACAAATGATGCCTTGGTGGGAAGCCTCAAGGCCCTGGCTACTAAGGGCCAGAGTGGGATGGCCCAGGGATGGCTACTGGCCTGCCTGGAGAGACGTGGGCAACAGTGCTGGTTTTGCAGTGTGTCCCTTCCTGCTTGCTCATCCCTGGAAGTGGATGTTCAGGGTGCTGGAGTTTTTCTTGTGTGGCCAGTGGGCTTGGGGGAGGGGCTGTGGGGACTTAGAACTGGCCTTATTTCCTCAGGATTGTCTGGGGACTCCAGGGAGGCCCACAAACCCAACACAACTGGCCAGAGCCAGCCAGGCTATGGGAATGTGCTGAACCCAGGGTGGGAGGGCAGCCTTAGTTTGCTTCCTGCTTGAACTGGGGAGTGTCAGGGGTCTGGTGCAAGAGCCCAGGGAATGAGTTTATCAGAAAGAGACCTGGAGGAGGAACGAGGTGGGCGGGGCCAAGTCTAAAGGAAGGATGCTGAGGGGCAGCTCTGGGAGGGGTGGGTAGTGATCTGATGGGAGGAAGCCAGGGGTCGGAGGGAGACTTCCCGTTGGGATGAAATGGGGAGGGAGAGCTATTTCCTGAAATATGGGGGCCAAGTGGTACAAAGGTCCATTGCTTGGCTCTTTTGGGGAGAGAAGAACAAAGGGGCGCTCTGAATAGGGGTGAGAGGGAGAGACTGGCCCACAGGAGGAAGGAATCAGATGGGGTCCCCATTTCTGGCTAGTCCCTCTGTCTTTCTGCTGACTCATGACCCTTGAGGAGCTGGGGAAGCAGTTAGTTCCCTCTCCCTTCTTTCTGCCCCCTCCCTCCTTCTGGCTTGAGTCACTGGGGCGGGGCTGCTGGGAAAAGATTTCCCTTTCCCGGATCTGACTTAACCCTCCAAGTGCGGGAGAGGGAGGGGAACACTTGGCCTGAGAAAGCCAGGCTCCCCACCTCCCTTTCGTAGAGGCCATTTCCCACAGGCCAGAGACCCCTGAAAAGCTCCTTCAAAGGCTGTGCGGGGACTGGAGCCTCCCAGCTCTTCTTCCTGACTCCGTCTACTGTTTGGCTTTGTTTCAAGCCCCCTGATGGGATTCAAAGTGCCAGTGACCTCAGGTGCTCAGAACTTTTTTGTCTTCTGGGAAAGGAACCACAACTTTCAGGACTTTCAGGATTGGGAAGTTCTCCTAACGACCGGACTCTTCCTGTTGCCCTGGTGGCTCCAGTTCTGTTCTCTGGAGAGATGGCCCAGCACATGGGCTGGCTAGCAAAGGCTGCTGCCCTCTGAGTGGGCGAGCGTGCCCCTGCTGGGATTTCTGAGTGTGGCTTCCCCACTTTGTGGCTGAGACTCTGGCTTCCGGGGGTGTGTACAGCCGCAGCGTCTCCCAGTGGGTGACTCAGGATGCGACCTGCTCCAAAATGGGAGGCTGCTCAGGCTGCAGGGCTGTTGCTGGGCTGGCTGTGGGCTGCCAGGCCCTACTTTCCCAGGCTGGGGTTTCTGTGATCTGATTAGCCTGGTGCTCCCCAGTATTTAACATACTTAAAGAACATCCTCTTGTCTTTATATAAGGTGGCTCTTACAGCAGAAAAAAAAAAAAGTCCTGGGGAAAGCCAGAAGCTAGTCAGAGGTCAAAGAACAAAGTATGAGTTGGAGCTAAACACTGACTCCTGGCTTTGCTTTCCTGGAATTGAAGCCAGAATGAGCAAGTGATTCAGCTGCTGTGTGCTTGGCCTGAGGTTGTAAAACTTGCCTTCCAGAATGTCCTGGCGTGCAAAGGGCTGCAGGCTTCTCAGGGCACACCCTCAGCTCTAGCTGCGTGTGACTTACATCCCTCTCCCCTCTCTGTCCCTACCGAAGCTTTGTGATCCATTGTCTTACTTACCTAGTGCTGTTGTAACAGAAATACTGAAAGTGGGTGGCTTTGAAGAACAGAAATTTCTTTTCTTACAGTTCACGAGGCTGTTGGTGGTGGTGGTTATTGTTAGTTGCCATTAAGTTGGCTCTGACTCATGGCCAGCGTATGTATAACAAGAAAACACTGTCTGGTTCTGTGCCATCTTCATAATTGTTGGTATATTTGAGCCCATTGTTGCAGTTATTGTGTCAATCCATCTCATGAAGGGTTTCCCTCATTTTCACTGACTCTCTACTTTACCAAGCATGATGTGCTTTTCTAGGGATTGGTCTTTTTTTTTTTTTTTTAATTTTACTTTAGATGAAGGTTTACAGAACAAATAATTTCTCATTAAACAATTAGTACACATACTGTTTTATGACATTGGTTAACAACCCCACGACATGTCCACACTCTCCCTTCTCGACCTTAGGTTTCCTATTACCAGTTTTCCTGTCCCCTCCTGCCTTTTAGTTCTTGTCCCTAGGCTGTTGTGTCCCATTAGTCTTGTTTTATTTTATGGCTCTGTCTAATCTTCGACTGAAAGGTGAACCTCGGGAGTGACTTCATTACTGAGCTAAAAGGGTGTCTGAGGGCCATACTCTTGGGGTTTCTCCAGTCTGTGTCAGGCCAGTAAGTCTGGTCTTTTTTTGTGAGTTAGAATTTTGTTCTACATTTTTCTCCAACTCTGTCTGGGGCCCTCTGTTGTGATCCCTGTCATAGCAGTCAGTGGTGGTAGCCGGGCACCATCTAGTCATACTGGACTCAGTCTGGTGGAGGTCATGGTAGTTGTGGTCCATTAGTGGGATTGGTCTTTCTTGATAACATGTCCAAAGTAAGCAAGATGAAGTCTCACCATCCTTCTAAGGAGCATTCTGGCTGTACTTCCTCCAAGACTGACTTGTTCATTTTTCTGGCAGTCCATGGAGTGCCAGAAGTCCAAATTTAGGGTGTGACTCTAGAGGGAGGTTTTTCTTTGTCTATTTCAGCTTCTAGTAGCTGGCAATCCTTAGAGTTCCTGGGCCTGTAGATTCATCTACCTCCTTCGACGTCAGACAGCATCTGTCTTCCCCCTGTTTATGCGTGCATGTGTCTGTGTCTATGCTGTTCTTTATATAACTCAGAAGTGATTAGATTTAGGACCCACCCTACCCTGGCACAATCTCAACTAACTGATTACATTGCATTATGGAAGGGGATTGCATTGCATTAGATTAGACTGCATCCACAGGTATAGGGGTTAGGATTCCAACACATATTTTGAGGAGACACAGTCAATCCATAACACCCACCTACTCCATCCTTGACCCCTGAACTTTCCCTTTTACTCCCATCCCCGTATGTCTTTGCCAACCTGGAGTGTTTGTGTAAATTTAGTGGTGGAAGGGGATGGAAAATGGAGTGTGAGGGCAGGAACCTGAGTAAAGTTTTGATACAAATTTATAAAGAAACTATCCTTTTGTTTCTGCCCACTCACCAGGAATGGTGCCCACCAGAACATCACTCGCCTCCACCCTAATCTGATTTAAATTTATTTATTTTTTTACTGATATAACACAAACAGGCAAGTACACAGATCCTAATTATTTAGCTCAGTGAATCTTCACCAAGTGAACACACCGTGAACCCAGCACCCAGGTAGGGAAGTATGTCCCCAGTCTTTGGGGCTGCTTGTTGGAAGGAAGGGCTATAATTGAGGCAACCTGCCAGGTCCTAATCCAAAAATATTTTTTTTCTTGAGCATCTGCTCTGTGTCAGCACTGTTTGCTATGGGGGAACTCAGAATAAGGGTCAAATAGAGTCCAGGTCTGAAGCCTACTATTCCTGAGTTGGAGGAACAGAACTAGCATCCAGAAAACAATTGGTCTCTATTTACCTGGAGCAACAGAGGAAGAAGGAGAGTTAGGAATAGAAGAAGGTTATGGAAGGTGTGGCTAATTGCCTTCATGAACAACTGCCTCCTTTGCCATGAGATCAGAAGAATTGGATGGTGCCTGGCTACCATTACTGAACATTTTGATCAAAGATTCTATAGAAGAGTCCTAGTCAAAAGGGGGAAAATGGAGAACAGAATTTCAAATTCTCACGTTGTTAGGTGCCATCGAGTCGGTTCCGACTCATAGCGACCGTATGCACAACAGAACGAACCATTGCCCGGTCCTGTGCCATCCTCACAATTGTTGCTATGCTTGAGCCCATTGTTGCAGCCACTGTGTCAATCCATCTCATTGAGGGTCTTCCTCTTTTTCGCTGACCCTCCATTTTTCCAGGCATGATGTCCTTCTCCAGGGACTGATCCCTTCTGATAACGTGTCCAAAGTATGTGAGATGTCTCATAGAATCCAGTTTTTCTGGAGCCATGGAGGCTGGATGAACCCCTGAAATTATTGCCCTGAGATCGTTTTTAAATCTTAAACCAAAAATATCCCAAAGTCTTCTTAAAACCAAACAATAGTTTAGCTTAACTAGTGAAGAATGTCTGCCTTGAGCATTGTGCTCTTATAAGATCTGTCTGTATGGGATCAGACTGACAACAGCAACTAGAAAGATTAGATAGGAAACTTAGGGGGCAGTGAGTTTATGTTAATGGAGTAGGAACAACTCAGAAAAGGGGGGTGAGAATGGTTATACAACTAGAAGAATGTAATCAATGTCACTGAATTGTACATGTAGAAACTGTTGAACTGGTATATGTTATGCTGTGTATATTCTCAACAACAACAAATAAATTATTAAAAAAATTAGCACCCAGGACAACTAGAGAACAGCTATGCATTAGATTGTACAGTGTGCCAACTGTCTAGGTTTAGAGGAAGAACATTGCGTGTGAGCTGGGTGGCCTGGGGAGAATGTTCCACTGACTGGAGAAGCCACGAGCTGGGGAGGGTTTTGACTTGCAGCCTCTAAGATTCCCACCCCTGCCTCTCCTAATGGACGATCTGATTCTTTCCTAGGTGCTCCTCGCTCTGTTGGTGGGAATATATCCCTCAGGGGTTATCGGACTGGTCCCCCACCTTGGGGACCGAGAGAAGAGAGATAATCTGTGTCCCCAGGGGAAATACAACCACCCTCAAAATAATTCCATTTGCTGTACCAAGTGCCACAAAGGTAGGAGAAAGTAGTAACCATGAATCCCCTCAGTTATGGGGCTCTGCTTCTTCCTTTGCTTTTTCCAGATATTCTAAAACCTGGGGTCCCTCCCTGCAAGTCCCCTAACTTTGCTGCCTTTCCTGGGCTGGGATTTTCTCCCCCCTTTCTTCTCCTAGAGACTTCGGGGAAGTGGCCCTGGTCATGTTCCCTAGGATGGGGCTCCTTCCTTGAGCACTCATCTGCAGCCTGACCCTGATACCTAAACACAGGGACCTACCGGTACAATGACTGCCCAGGCCCAGGGCTGGACACGGACTGCAGGGAGTGTGAAACTGGCACTTTCACTGCTTCAGAGAACCATGTAGGACAATGCTTCAGCTGCTCCAAGTGCCGGAAAGGTATGTCTTAGGAGAGGGCCGGGGCTCTAAAAGGAGCGTGTGTGTCTGGAGAGTCAGATGGGCATTAACAGGTATATGGTGCATGTCTATGTGTGAGGCTGTAGAAACGTGCTGGTGGGTGTGGGTGGGAATATGTGTGCATATGTGAGTGTGCATGGGTGTCAGCATGTGTTAGAGTGACACTGTAGGGTCAAGAAAGGGTGCAGGGAAAGGACAAGTGGAATTAATATGGACAGGGGGACACAGACTCATGCCATCTCTTCCCCTCCCTAGAAATGGACCAGGTGGAGCTTCTTCCTTGTACAGTGTACCAGGACACCGTGTGCGGCTGCAGGAAGAACCAGTATCGGCATTATTGGAGTCCCTCCCTTTTCCAGTGCCTTAACTGTAGCCTTTGCTTCAACGGCACTGTGCATATCCACTGTGAGCATGGGTCTCCCATCCCCAAGCCCCTTCTTCACCTCAGGGGTTGGCCTAGTCCCTCAGGGGGAAAGTCTCCACCTTTCTACACCCTCTCCCCCATTAGGAAGCATTTCTTGTCCTCTCTCCCACAGTTCCTGAATCTGAGCACCATTCTGCTTTGGCCCTCCATCTTCTGCCCCTCCTTGCTCTTCCTCCTGCCTCAGGGTGCAGGGCTGCCCTCCTTTAGCTGTGCTGCACTTCTTCCCACAGGCCAGGAGAGGCATGACACTGTCTGCAACTGCCATGCAGGGTTCTTTCTAAGGGGAAATAAGTGTATCACCTGTAGCAAGTGAGTATCCCTGCTGGCTGCTGGGCATGAGGTGGGGAGCATGGGGTGGGGTGGGACGGCTGTGGGGGAGAGCCACTAGCAGGGCAAGGGAGACACCCGAGGGTGCTCTGGCTCCTTCTGGCTGTCTGAACGGGAGACACCTTGTGTCAAGACACCAGACAGTCCTCCCTGCCCAACTTGTCCCTCATATCTTAAGAAGTCTTTGGTGATAGAAGTTCATATCTCTGAAATTGGGATACATGTCACAATTGATGACATATCATGGTTTAATTGACAGATTTATGTTATGTGTGTGGTACATAGGTAGTGGTGCCTCTTACTACTTACTGATGGCATCTTAGGTTTGATGCAAGATGGCCCCTTTGGCTGGACCATCACACTCCCTCCTCTGGCCCCACAGAGGCCGCCCCTGCACACTCACTGGGTCCAGGTGCCCAGGCTGTGTTTGAGGACCTGCACGCTATGACGACAGAATAATGAACCTTAGCACACCTGTCCCTGACCCCACTTAGATCTGTAACCAACACCTTCTTGCTGGTTGTTGTTGTTGTTGGGTGCTGTCCAGCTGATTTTTGACTCATAGCAACCCACGTGACAGAGTAGAACTGCTTCATAGGGTTTTCTAGGCTGTAATCTTTACAGGAGCAGATCGCCAGGTCTTTCGCCCAAGGAGGCGCTGGTGGGTTCAAACTGCCAGCCTTTCCGTTAGCAGCCAAGTGCTTAACCATTGCATCACCAGGGCTTGCTAACTGACACCTAGTACTTAGTAATGCTCTACAAATGCACAGTCCTTTACAGTTTACGAAAACCTTGGTGGAGTATGGTTAAATGCTATGGCTGCTAACCAAAAGGTCAGCAGTTCAGATCTACCAGGTGCTCCTTGGAAACTCTATGTTGCAGTTCTCCTCTGTCCTATAGGGTTGCTATGAGTCAGAATCGACTCGACGGCAACGAGTTTGGTTTTTTTTTTTTACGGTTTACAACATGCTTTTACATGCATTCTCATATCTGATCGTCTGAACAAACCTGTAACAGACAGAGTACATTTTCGTTAGCAGCCTGAGCTCTTAGCCACTGCTCCAGACAGAGGTCAGGCAGTTCTTATTTCTAGTTTTATTTAACACATGCAGAAATTGGGTCTCGGATAGGTTAAGTGACAAGATCAAGATCACTCGGCAAGATCCTGGGCCTATACCCATGTCTTTTCACTCACCCCAAATCCAGTGCTCCTCCAGTAAATGATGCTGTCCCCTCGGGTAGCCATCTGAGCCGCTTTTTACAGAAATGACTTTGGCTTCTCCCAGTTCCCTTAGTTCTCACTGTCAGCAACCTCCCATTTAAAGCAGCGTGATGTCTGATATACAACTAGGATAAATACAGCCAAACCACAGAAATACAGCAACACAGCAAGAGCTAATTTATTCCATTTCACTTTTTCCCTTTACACAGACTACCCCCACAAGTCCCATTTTATAAGGACGCTCCTATTTATAAGGATGCTGCATTTAGAGCACCTCTGGCTGGTGTTTTAAAAAGACCTTCCCAAGAGGTGATCCTGTGCCTACCTTGTGCATATATAAATGACCTCTCCATTTCCCTCCCCTGCACTCTGCCGTATTACACTCGGCTTTTGGAAGGACAACCCAATGTGGGACAGATAAGAAACTCTGAGGCCTCTGGAGTTAAATGACTTGGGTTCAAACCTGAGCTTAGCCGCTTAATGGCTATGTGACCTTGAGTAAGTTACTTAATGTCTGAGCCTTAGTTTTCTTACCTTTAAAGTAAGGATAATGACACCTACTTTGCGAAGCTGTGAGAACCACAAAAAATACCTATAAAATGCTGACAAAAAATTATTTATTTTCCAATTTTTCCCACCAAGTTTTGTCTCTTCTTGAAAAAGCTTTTGTACCCATTCCCTGTGGTTCTCACCATGGCGCTGTGAGGTGGGCGTGAAATGCTTCTTCCTGCTTTTAGACTTCCGTGGGGGACTCACCTTCTCAAGGTCCTTCCAGGCCTGCCTCATCACTCATCACCCCATGCTGCCCAATGACATCTCCCCACACACGAGAAGATGTGCTTGCTCTAGAGTGCTCTCTGGCTGCCATTAGCCATAGGTATTTTTAAAAATTTTCACACGCACATTTGATCCTTCTTCCAGTCAGGCATTGTACTTAGTAGTGCCATCTTGAGAAAAAGCCCTTTAACCTCTTTCTGTCACAGGATTCTCAGGGTGTCAAACGATGATAAAATAACAATACAATAACAGCTACCATTTATGGGGTACTTACTGTATGTCGCTATGAGTTGGAATTGACTCCATGGCAGTGGGTTTTTTTTTTTTTTTTGTATTCTATGTTGGAGTCCCTGGGTGGTGTAATGGTTTACGCACTCAGCTGCAAACTGAAAGATTGGAGGTTTGAGTTGGCCCAGAGGCACCTCAGAAGAAAGACCTGGCAGTCTACTTCTGAAAAACCAGCCATTCAGGACCCTATGGAGCACAGTTCTACTCTGACATACATGGGGCTGCCATGCGTTGGAATTGACTCAACAGCAACTGGCTTCTGGTTACTCTATGTTGGGCATACTTAATCTCATTTACTCTTCCATTCAGAGAAGTGGGTATGATCCCTATTTTACTGATGAGGAAACTGAGGCTTAAATGTTACATGACTTGCTTAGAGTCACACTGCTAGTCAATGAATGAGCTGAAATGTATTTCTGACCTAAGGGCTTTTAACTCCTTTTCTACACAGTCTTTTCAAGATCCCTTCTGGTTCTAAAATTAAGTGATTCTGTGATTAACCATGTTTCATCCCTCTGCATCGATTCCCAATGATATAATTAAATTCCATTGTATCAAGAGACAGCTAAAGTATTTGTAAAGCAAAGACTTCCCAACAATTTGTGGCTTTTTTCCCGCATGTTCCTCCTGTGGTAGGACCCTACTCACTAGTGTCATCTGCTTTTTTAGCTGTAGAAGTGACCCAGAGTGCACAAAGCTGTGCCTGCCCACGACTGGAACCGTTAAGGGCCCTCAGGACACAGGTGAGGAGAAATAGCCCGCGCTCACCTGCCTTCTCCCTAATCCTTGACCCTCCACCCGTCTACCCATCCTTGCTGTCTTCTTCTGTCCCCTCTCTGACCACGTCTACCCATCCTTGCTGTCTTCTTCTGTCCCCTCTCTGACCACGATCTACTTTGCCTCCAGGCACCACAGTGCTGTTGCCCCTGGTGATCCTGTTTGGTCTTTGCCTTTTATCCCTCTTTATCGGTATAATGTGCCGCTACCAACGGTGGAAGCCCAAGCTCTACTCCATTGGTGAGTGGGGACTTTGGGAGGGAAAAGAGTCCTGGTGGAGATGTGGGAGAGGCTTTGGTGGCTAGATGGAAAACATGGAGAGAAATGAGAGGTTCCCTGCTGAGGACTCCCTGCAGGAAGTGGTGACCCTGGGTGGCTGGTGAGAGGTCATGCTGCATCAGTAGTTCTGTGGTCCCAAGGGCTACACAGGCCCTGAAGCATGTCACCACAAGTCTCCATAGCCATCCCCAGTAGAGATTATTGGTGGTGGTGGGGTGGGAGAAGATGAGATGTGAGGGGAAGTGAAATTTGTGACGTTTTGTTTCTTTCTTTTTTTGCCTCAGTTTGTGGGAAACCGGCACCTGTAAAAGAGGTGAGATGAAATCGGGGACTACTTAAAGTAGCCAAATTACCTGGTATTAACACGGGGCTCCCCTAATTCCCTTCAGTCCCACCGTGCATCCAAAGAGGGCCGGGTTGTGCCTCCTCCCTCCGACTAATGCTGTGCCTTCTCTCTTTCAGGGGGAGTTTGAAGGAGTTATTGCCAAGCCCCTAGCCCCAGCCTTCAGCCCCTCTTCGAGCTTCAGCCCCACCCTGGGCTTCACTCCCACCCCGGGCTTCAGACCCACCCCCAGCTCCAGACCCACCCCCAGCTCCTACTTCTCGCCCAGTGAGTGGTCCAACTTTACAAATGCATCACCTCCCAGAGAAGTGGCCCCACCCTACCAGGAAGCTGGCCCCTTCCTCACCGCGGCCGCTGCCTCCACCCAGATCCCGGCACCTCCTCAGAAGGGGGAGGAGCGCTCGCACACGCTGCTCGCAGATGGTGAGTTCCTAGCGGGATCCCAGCTGAGGGCTCAGGGGCGGAGCTTCTAGAGGGCGCAAGCAGCGGGAGCCTTAGGCAGGGTTACCAGCTGGCTGGAGGCTCAGGGGTTTGCTTCCCCCCGCAGCTGACCCAGCAATGCTGTATGCTGTGGTGGACGGTGTGCCCCCGTCTCGCTGGAAGGAGTTCGTGCGGCGCCTAGGGCTGAGCGAGCACGAGATCGAGCGGATGGAGCTGCAGAACGGACGTTGCCTGCGTGAGGCGCAGTACAGCATGCTGGCAGTCTGGAGACAGCGGATGCCACGACGCGAGGCCACGCTGGAGCTTCTGGGCCGCGTGCTCTGTGATATGGACCTGCGTGGCTGCCTGGAGGACATTGAGGAGGCGCTGCAGGGCCCCGCGCCCCGAATCCCCCGATGAGGCCACGCCCACTGTCTCCTGGGCGGGGCCTGCCCTTGTGACAGCTGCTTCCTGCCCCAGGACGGCCTGGAACGATCCTGGGGGAAGGACGATTCTGCGAGATGCCCTCCCGACACCCCCCTTTTGTTTTTCTGGAGGGGAAGGGTCGTGGAGGAGCAGCCATGAGCTGGCAGCCACTTAACTTGGTGCTACCCCCTTTGTGTATATAGTTTTTCTCAGCGGCGTGTGTGATCGTGAGGGTGAGAGTGTGCGTGAGCCCAAGTGGGTTGGTTGCAGGGATAAGGGGCGCCATACCTCATACCCATTTTGGGTGTGGAGGACCCAGCATGGCTGCTTAGGGGCCCCTGGTTGGTCCCTGAGCCTTTTTCACAGTAGATAAGCAATTTTGTATCAGTTATGTTGCACTAATAGAAACTTGGCACCCCTTGCCCCCTGCCTGGACAAGCACAGAGTAAGCTGAACTGTCCCAAGGCAGGACAAGCCCAGAACAATGTGCTGGAGCAATGGACTTTTGTAAATACACTAAAACTCTGAATTAAAACTCTGCTCCTGGAGGGAGTGGTCTGTCTTCAGGGCTGGTGTGGGAGGCCTGGGCAGAGACCCAGATCCTGGTGGGTAGGATGGGAAAAGCCCTGAGTTAGGGCTAGAGAAAGGAGCCCTAGTGGCTCAATGCTTGAGCCTTTGGCTGCTAACTGAAAGGTTGGTGGTTCCAACCTATCAGGGGCTCTGCAGGAGAAAAGACCTCTGGTGTTCTGTTCCTGTAAAGATCACAATCTAGGGAGACCCACCGGGCAGTTCTATTCTGTCCTGTAGGGTTGCTATGAGTCAGAATTGACTTGATGGCTCACAACACCAGGGCCAGAGACCCTATCACCTCTCACAACCACTGTCAGACGAGCAGACAGTGTTCACTCTGTGACACCCCCACTCAGGTTCTCCTTCACATTTAGCACTGGGCAGTTGTTTTTATGCACAACTTTATGTGGGAATCAGGTGTCTATGATACATAAATTTACAGTTATTGATCCCAAAGCCCACAGAGTAGGGAAGGCAGGGTGCCTGGGCCAGGCTTCTTAGCAGGAGGTATGGTCCTTGAGGTAGAGTCCAGGGGCAGGGTGGTGACCAGCACTCTTGGGGTGAAATTTCCTCCGGGAGAAATGCCAAAGGTCCTCGGTGTCCCTCACACCTCTCTGAAAAGAAAGGAGGTAGCTGTTAGGTAAAAGTGGCAGTGAGAACATGAGGGTCCGACGTGGGTGAAGAGTGGGGCTAAGGACCCTTCCATCCCACAGCTCCTGCTCTGGCCTCCCCTCTGCCCCCTCCATGCCAGCTTCCCTTCTGCACTTACGATGTGGACAGGGGCGTGTCCAGCTGTATGACGTGGGGCCCTCGCATCCTCTGCAGTTGCATCCGTGTCAGCTTCCGAGGTCTGTTGCTCCGTGGCTCTGGGGCATCCTCGATCCTGTGGCTGGCCAGTTCCTCCTGGATCTCTCTGAGCATGTCCTCAGCCCGGAGGGGGCGTGGGGAGGGGATGTGGCTGGGTCCCAGGAAGACGGACTCCTCACCTTCATCCCCCGAGGAGTACCAGGGGCTTTCCCCAGCAGAGTCGGCATGGGTTAGGGAGCGGGAGACCTGCCCCCGAAGTCGGGCCCTGTGCAAGGTTTCCACCACCACATTCCCTCCCGCTGAGGTCCCATCTTCTTCCTCAGACCAGGTGGGAGGTTCTCCCCCGGGAAGACTGCTTCCTCTTCGGATGCCTTCCTCTGGCAGGTCAGGGGCACTTCGGCGCTGGGGCGCTTGGGAGTTAGGGGACTGGGCGCGCAAAGGAACATTTCGGAGGTCCAGGGTAGAGAAGGTGAGGCGAGGGTCCCGCCGAAAGGCTCGCTGGCGTAGACGGCTCAGTGGGGAGTGGGGCCCCGTTGGGGAGCCTGGGATCAAAGTGCCATAGCCAGAGTCTGAGGTATCATCTGGCACAGAGGGAGTGTCTTCATCTGTGTCTTCCGTCACCACTAGGTGGGGGATGATGGTTGAGAACTCAGGAACCCTACAATTAATAGCAAATGGTCAGAGTCAGGGGCCAGAGTCCTAGGGGGTCAAGTTCAAGTCTAGGAAGTCTCCCTTGACCACTCCTTCCAGAAATGGCCCCTCTGGACCCATTTCAGTATCACCTTTACACAGCACCATGTGATTATTTTTCTCATTCCCTGGCTAGACCAGGGCTTTGAACCCATGCTGAGAATTTGCATTTCTAACAGGTTCCCAGGCAATGCTGATACTGCTGGTTAGGGACCAATTCCGAGAACCATTAGTAGAGCAGTGGGTCTCAAAATTTATTATACATAAGAATCACCTGGGAATCTTATTCAAATGTAGATTGTGTTTCAGTATATCTGGGGTGGAAATGCTTTGAACCAGTTTGAAGCCCTGGGCTAGATCGTAAACTCCTTAAAGGCATGGACTGCCTCTAAGCCATTTTAGCCACAGCACCTGAGCCAGGACCTTGCATCAAGTAGGTGCCCAGAGCTCACCTGAGACTAGCACCCCTGCCCACCCCCCAACCCCAGCTATGGATTCTTTTTTCTCCATATCAACCATGCTGCTAAGCAACTATGTAATCCTGGGTCACTGAGTGACCCCCTTACCCTCTCTGGGCCTCAATGGATTTGGACTGGCCGCATCCCTGCAGCTCTAGTATTCTGCAAGTCCATACTCTCCTTCACTCTCCTCCCTGGTCTGGGAGCCTGCTCCTCTCAAGGACTTTGTGTCTCTTACGTTTCCTTCCTGGCTAGCCCCATAGGCTGCCCCATGCGACCCTTCACATGGCTGGTGCCAACCTACTCAACCCCAACCTGTAGCCTGGGTTCCCCGATCTAGTCCCAATTTCCTCAAAAGCTGGAATACCATTTCTCAGCCTCATGAGTTCCTTCTCTCCCCCTCCCTAACCTGTAGCCTCCCTACTTACCTCCCCTCTGCACTGCTCTGAGAGCCCTCTAGGGAAGGAGTGGAGGGTCTGGTGCACAGGGACTCCTGGTCCCGGTCCCGATAGAGGGCCAGGAGGTCCCTCTTCTGCTGAACATACTCTTCTGCCTTCAGTTTCTGCAGGGTGGCCTGGGGCAGGGATGCTTTTATTATTAAGAGCTATCAAGAATTGAGGGCTTGCTATATGCCAGGCAATGTGCTAAGTGTTTTATCATTTATACATTATCATTAATCTTCACAACGACCTTATGAAGCAGATATTATTTTTTTACTCCTACTTTACTACTGAGAAACAGAGACTCAAAGGTGAAATAACTTGCCCAAGATCACGCAGTTAGAAAGTGGATGGAGCCAGGATTTGAGCTCCAGTTGGCCATGGAACTGTAGAGCTGGTGCTGGGGTAGGGTGGGGTGAACAGAATGCCCCCTTTCCTACTTGCACAGTTCTTCCCACTTCGCATGTCCTCTTGGCAAGCCCTCCAACAGGTCTGCCACCTCCCTTGGGAAGCCTACCCTGATTGCTGGCAATGATGGTATAAATGCTCTGAATGGTGCTGGGCCCTCAGGTTGCTCCTTCAAGGACATCTCTCTCCCCTCAGCTGGGCCTCTGCCCTGAAGCTGGAGGAGTAGGAGGGCAGAGGGTGGGCAGGGACAGGCTTTGCCCTGGGCTAAGGGCTCTGCTGTCCTTCAGAGGGATGAAAGCAGGGTTGTCCCTAGAGGCATGAGGAGAGGGCCCATTATATTTTCTGTTTTCCTCTCTCAACATTTTCATCCAGGTGCGTTAGAATAAAACAGTGACATCTGAGAAGCAGGTTACAACGCACCTTCCTGTGCATGCGATCATCTGGGACACACCATCACCCTGCAGGAGTTTCCACCCTACACGGATATTAGCTTATTTTACAGATGAAAACTAGACTTAGAGAAATGGAGTGACTTACTCAAGGTCACATAGCTGGGGAAAAGCAGAGCTGGGATGGCCTTACTCTTTGAATCCTCATTCAGTAACTGCACTGCTTTTCAAGTTGCAGCCTTGACGGGCAAAGGGCTACTAAAGGGCAGCATTCCCTTGGGGAGGAGGAGGGAAGGCAGCAGAACAGGAGGATAGGTAGACAATGGATAGAGGTGTGGCAAAGGGACAGGGAGTGGTGGCTGCTTGTGGGCAGTGCTGATATCAGTACTTGCTGGTATGGCCATATCGTTGTTAAAATATTTAAATACTTCCATTCTGGTTGCTGCCTGATTCATCCACCTTCCTTCCTCAGAACTTACCGTCCCTCCCCCATGGTCCAGCAACTAAAGGTGACACAGCAAGTGACATAGCAGGGGTCCTCTAGGACCCTGCTGTAATTCTCCATTCTGACTGGTTGATGTCCATGCCACAGTGATCATTAAATATTTTGAATATCTCCCAGCTTGAGGTACACAGACTTTTCCAAAGCCTCCCAGAAGCACTGGGGGCAGCTGGGTCAGACCGAGAGATATGCTGGGGACATGGATGAATAGGAATAGGAAAATGACATCAGGCTTGTATTTCTAATTCTTCTCTCCCCATCTCTCCAGTCACTCGTTCCCTGTGAGTGACAAAGAAGTGCAAGGATCCTTAGCAGTCTCATAAGGTTTGGTCTGATGGTCAGAGCAGGGGTGGGGCCATCCGGGGGCCACCAGCACACCTGAGCCAGGCCCTGTGCTCACCTGCCTCCCCCAGACCTCATCTCCCACCTCAGCATGGAGTGTGGGGACAAACAACTACAAAGGAGGTTCCATCTGGGAGTGTGGAAGGGGCTGTACTTGGGGCCAGAGCTGGGGTCAGAGCTGTCGTCCTGCTGGGGAGCCAGGCCCTTTTGCCCCATATGACGCAAATTCAGTTTTGTGTCTAGGATGTCCAGGATAGGGATGGTGTGTGGAAGAAAAAAACTGGAAGGAAGGGGTGAGTATCTGTGAGGAACATCCAATGACAGCATTTCTACTGTTCCCTATTTCCCGAAATTTGTCCCTTGTCCTACCCTGAGAAGAAGCAGGAGGTGAGGAGGTGGGCTGGGGGACAGGGGCTGTCTGAAGTGCCCCTCTGCTACCCCAAAGCCTCTCCAGCAAACCTGTGAGGATTTTCTTGGCCATTCTTGCGGCGTGGGTAAGAGGAGACATGAAAAATAGGGCTGCAAAGGAAGAGGAAATTGGTACCTGAGCAAGAATGTGACCCTCCCCACAAAGCCAGGAAAAGGAAGGAAGGGCTGCCCAAGAACAGGACTATTCTTCCTTTTGTCTTCCTGGGGAACTGAGCCTTGAAAGGAAATGCCTCCTCTCCCTGCTGCCTCTGGAGCAACTCCCAGATTCACCTACTTCTAGACCAAAGTTCCCCAACACTGGACTAGAACTGACCTCCTGACAGTTCTCACTTACTTCCTGAGTGACAGATGTCAAGGCTTCTCCCTACTCAGCATCTGGCCTTGTCCAGGCAACACTGACTACTCCTTTCTTCTAATGATGACAATAACCATCAGTTGCCATTGAGTAGATTCCAACTCATGGTGACCCCATGTGTTTCAGAGTAGAACTGTGCTCCATAGGGTTTGGAATGGATAATTTTTCAGAAGCAGATTGCCAGGTCTTTCTCTGCACCACTCTGGGACTCCGATGATGACCATAACACATATTGAGAGCCCATTAAGTGCTGGGCCTTGTGCCAAGCAGTTTGCAGAAGTAATTCTCCTGTTTTCCCTGCATGGTGGTTACCATTATTACTGCAGTTTCCCAGATGGGGGACCAAGCTTGGAGACGTGAAGTAACTTGCCCAAGAACACAGATAAATAAGAGAACTGGCTCCGGACTCTCCTTCAGACCATGGCTCTCACTCTTGACTGCCTTCTTCAGTCTCTCCTCCTTTAATTTCTTGGCCTCTGTCTCTGACAGCTCTTTCTCTGTTCCTCTCACTAATTTCTTTTCCTCTTCCCACCCGCTAAGTAGGGGGAGCCAAAATTCATCTTTCTCCTCCTAGAGAAACTCCCTTTCTCTAAAGGCTTAAGCCACCACTTCTAGGCCTGCTATGAGTAAATCTACATCCACATTTCTGTAAGGGGGAGAAAAAAAATAGTCTGATCCTTGGGGATTGCTCTATCAAGGGAGACAATAGATAATCTATGTGCGTTGGAAAAGAAGGTATACTTGGCTGCTGTTGGGTGCAGTGTTCGGTATATGTCTATGAGATCAAGTTGGTTGACTGTAGCATTCAGCTCTTCCGTGTCTTTCTTGAGCTTCTTTCTGGATGTTCTGTCCTTCACCAAAAGTGGCGTGTTGAAGTCTCCTACTACTATTGTGGAGCTGTCTATCTCTCTCTTCAGAGCTGTTAGAGTTTGTTTTATGTATTTTGGAGCCCTGTTGTTGGGTGCATAAATATTTATTATAGTTATGTCCTGGTGAGTTGACCCTTTAATCATTATATAGTGACCTTCCTTATCCTTTGTGGTGGATTTTACTTTAAAGCCAATTTTGTCAGAGATTAATATTGCCACTCCTGCTCTTTTTTGAGTGTTGTTTGCTTGATATACTTTTTTCCATCCTTTGAGTTTTAGCTTGTTTGTGTCTTTAAGTCTAAGGTGCGTCTCTTGTAGGCAGCATATAGATGGATCATGCTTTTTTATCCAATCTGACAATAGATAATCTACTGCCCTCTTCAGTTTGCAAAGACCGAGGGTAATAGAGGGAAGGGTTACTTAAGAATTTAGCGTGAGACAAGTAAAGAAAACTGATTTCAAAGTTTCAGGGTTCTTTGTTTTGCTAAGAGTGGAGGCCCAGAAGCTTCAGTGGGCTGCTGGGTTTGGTATAAAAAATGACCTCCCTACCCCCACTAGCCTGGAATGGAGAGGTGAGACTCTAAAAAAAAAACCAAACTCGTTGCTGTCAAGTCGATTCTGACACAGAGTGACCCTATAGGACAGAGTAGAACTGCCCCATAGAGTTTCCAAGGAGCACCTGGTGGATTTAAACTGCTGACCTTTTGGTTAGCAGATATAACAGTTAACCACTATGCCACCAGGGTTTCCAAGGTGAAACTACTGGGGAGTAAATTAATTTGCATAATAAAATACTAGAAATTTTTAGGGGCCCCATGGGGATTCTAAGGAGTCCCTGGGTGATGCAAACTATTAAGGTGGCTACTAACTGAAAGCTTGGCCATTCAAACCCACCCAGATGAACCTCAGAAGAAAGATTTGGCAATCTGCTTCCGAAATGTCACAGCCTTGGAAACCTATGGAGCACAGTTCTACTCTGACACACATGGGGTTGCCATGAGTTAGAACTGACTGAACAGCAATGAGTTTTGTTTTTGTTTTGGGGGCTTCTAAAGGGAGAAGGTGAAGGGTGGTGGTATTATGGTACTAGGAACTGAGGCAAGCGGAGAAAGTTCTGGGGGCAGGGATGGTAAAGAAAAGAGGCTGCCTGCCAGTAATGGCCACCCCCACTTGCTGTCCTGGGGATACAGGGGGCTCTAGGAACACTGATGCTAGTTTGTGGTTTTGTTCTCTAGTTTCCCTCTACCCCTACCCTTCAGTAACATCTGATTAGCCTCTAGAATGGCGACAGTTGCCAGTCAGTCCAGCCTTGTTTCCACAAGGGAGAGCTGTGTTTAGGCTCAGGGAGAAGTAGTGTGGAGAGAAGGTGGCTGACAAGCAAAGAAAAAGGAGTGTGAGCTGAGCCTAGAGCAGGGGTTAGGCCAGATGGGAGACCACCTTCACCACATAAACTGTGCTTACCACCTCCACTCTAGTCCCTTGCCTTTGCCCCAGAAGATCTCAGAAACTTCAGGCTGGATGGATCAGCCTGGGCTTCCTGGGGACTGCCGCCATCTTTTTTAGATATCCAAGGAAGTGGTAGCCCCACAGGGCTGGAGGACACACACTCTTGAGGTTCCATCTTTCATTCTAATTTCTCACCTGAGCTCTAAGTCCATGTTTCCACGTTTACGAAAGCCCCTGAGATAGCTCTACTTGCTATCTCCTACTACTGCAATTTCAAAGTGCTTAAGGACCCCTGGTGGTGCAGTGGTTAAAATGCTCGGCTGCTAACTGAAAGGTCAGCGATTTGAACCAACCAGCCACTCTGTGGGAGAAAGATGCGGCAGGCAGCTTCTGTAAAGATTTACAGCTTTGAAAACCCTACAGGGCAGTTCTACTCTGTCCTATAGAGTCGCTATGAGTTGGAACCAACTTGATGGCAACGGGTTTGGTGTTTTTTGGTTTCTGTTTAAAACTAAATATTACAGCCTTCCTCCCAGGAAGCAACACCTAAACAAATAGGTTTCCCTTTCTAATTATTTCATTTCTCTCCGGGAAACCGTTACCAATCCAGTCTTTCAAGCAGAAACCTCAGGAGGTGAATCAGCCTCTTTGTCCTTGAGTAACTTGATTTACGGAGGATTTACCTAGTGCTGGCACCGTGCTGCCTGCTTAACCTGAATGATTTCTTTGAATCTTCCTTAGGAGACAAGTATGGTTTTTATTTATCTCCATTTTGCAGCTGAAGAAATTGAAGCTCTAGAAGACCATGTAACTTATCCAAGGTCACACAGCTAGTAAGTGGTAGAACTGATGTCTGAACTTAGATTTTTCTGAGTTCAGTCTAGGCTTTCAACCACAGTCTCTCTAAGATTCACCTGTCTCTTCTTTAGATTTTGGTTTTTGGCAATGTCTCCCTAAAGCCAGGGTACTAAACTTTCAATGCTTTACACCCAACTAGTACGGTAAATCTCCTGCCACCAGTCTCTCCTTCCTCCAGCCCATCTAGCCACACTGCTTCCTTGATTAAAAAAAAAAAAATCAAAACAAAACACATTGATTTCACTACGTCATTCCCTTGCTCAGGAATTAATGGTGGTCTTCTCTTGTCAATCCAGCTCAACCCACTCTTGCCCAGTCCACACTCTTCTATAGTTCTCGAGGCCTGTAGAACCTGGCCTCTCAACCCTGTCTCACACAAACACTTTGCTCCAGACCCCAGACAGACCCAGTCACTGTCCTCAAAGTAATCTGACCCCATTGCTCCCCTGATTCTTCTGCTCCATCTTACTCATCCTTAAAAGTCCAACTCAAATCTTCTCCATTCTCTGGCCATCTTGCCCAATATGGAGGTCTCCTCTTCTGAACTCCTCTAGCTTCTATCACATAAATCTGGTCACATCGCTCCCTTGCTTAACACTTTTATTGGCTCCATGTCATCTATAGGACAAAGTTCAAGTTCCTTAGCATGGCTTCCAGGGATGGGCAAGATCTGGATGAGCCTACCTCCCCAGCCTCTCTCCTCCTGCACCTACCTTCATGTCCTAGCAGTACCGAACCACTGCGTCGGCGATTCTCTCAACACACACAACTGCTTCATATTTCAGGCCTTTTTACATTCTGCTTCGTCATTTTGAATACCCTTCCTCCCTACCCTTCTCCCCCAACGTACTCCTAGACATCCCTCCAAACAGTGCTCAGACATCAGCTCCTCTCTGAAGACTTAACTTACCTCCCTCTGCACTGTCCCCCCATGCTGAATGCATTACTCCCTTCTCTGGGCTAGTTCCATTCTGTGTACATGTTTCTATTACTTGTATACTGATTTGTCTAGTTAGACGGCAGCATATATTCCTTGAGGGCAGGAATGCTGCTTTATTCCTTTCTAATTCCGTAGCACCCAAAGCAGTGCCTGCACATAGCAAGTCCCATAAATGTCTGTTGAATGGAAGATGAAGTTTAGGAGGTCAATGTTTCAAGGTGGAGGAACTTTTAGGAGATGTTTGGTATGTCTTGGGTTCTCCCAATGACTAGCATAGTAGCTGCCAATGGCTGTCTTCCAGCTTCTTATAGACAGTCAAGATTGTGTCTCCCTTGAGGGAAAGCCTGAGAGGCTGACAGTCCAGTTGGACTCTGCATCTACCCGAGCCTCTCCCTCCTCCTCCTACCCCCTTGTGGTCCATTTCTGAGCACTGGGGCCTCTGCACACCCCTCCCCACACCCCATGCTCACATACCTGGGCCGTCTGGGTCTTCTCCAGCCACCGGGCACGGTCTGTGGAACTGGGACAGTGCACAACGAGGGCACTAGAGACACACTGGAATTCAGTGAGGTTGATCACCAGGAAGCTGCCTGGTTGGAGGAGAGGGTCTGCTTCAAGGCCTGGGCCTTACTGGATCCCCATCCTGTCTCCTCCTTCCTCCCTTGCTGAGAGGAAGGGAGAAGGAAAATGCCCCTAAAAAAGGCCCCCATTGAGAAGACATACTGGGGTCTCGGAGTGGCCGGCACAGAAGATTCTCCAGCATGAGTGGGGGGCGGATGACCTTGGCTTTGTCTGCCTTGCGTTGGGGCTTGGTCACCAGGAGCACGTCAGAGAAAAGGAATAGGTACACGTCCAGCTGAGAGGGCAGGGCAATAGAGACAGGGGTCAGCTGGAGCAGGGGGAGGGGCCGGCCAGGGATGGAGCTCCTACACAGGTGTACATGCACGGGTGCACACATACACACCGGACAAGAGATGAACCATGGGATGCTAGAGCTTGACCCAACCTCTTGCTTCACAGGCTGGGAAAGTGGCTGGCTCAGGGTCATACAAATAAACAGAGCTTAGCTGGAACCATATCCGCTTCTCAACACACACACGCACACACGCACTTGCGCACGCACACAAACACACACACACACCCTTGTTCCATTTCCAGCTTTTCTGCCTCCTGGGTTCCATTATCCCTCCCTCCTTTCTCTTCATTTCATCTCCTCACCACATCTTCCTCACCTTGGCTTCTCGTCCCTCCTTCACTCTCACGGGTCCCTCCAGCAGCAGCTGCCTAGTGTGCTTAGGGGCAACCCCTAACATGGGGGAAGTCAGGTCCAGGGTGGAGAAGGGACGCAGGTTCTGAAGGACACAGAGGGGAGAGGATCAGCGGATGGACAGGGCTTGTCCCCAAATCCCAGCTGAGGGTGGCCTCTATTCTACCACCAGCACCTTCTCTGTCCACTCTTCCCCTTCTTGGAGGGAGAGCAAGCGTCCAACTTCCTTCTTAGTCTTTTGAACTCCACCCCTTGGACCCTCACCACCCAGAGGAAAAGGGGCATGCCCCCTCTATGGCACCCAAGTACACCCTTTACCTCCAGGCCTCTACTCCATCCATTTTCCTGGGCCTTGCTTTTTCTGAGCCCTCTGCCCTCTCTCACCTTCTCTACCTCCTCACTGGACGGCTCCAGCACCTCGTAGGGCCCAATACGTTGGGCCAAAGCCACCAAGCTTTCGTGCTCCTCACCCTGTCGGACCTGCCCGTTGATGTGTTGCAAGAACGACTCCACAGATGCAATCTAGGAGGTGAGGGGGGACACGGGAGGAGGCACAGCTCAGCTCTGCACCCTGTATACACACTATCCAACTAACTAAAACCACAGCACCTTAAACAGGCTGAGCCTGTCAGGGCCTACTGCCACACACAGATGAGAAAAGAGAATACCCTCATGAGATCCTGATCAGTTTCCACCTACCAGGCCCCAACTCCCAAGGGTCCTGGCCCAGCCAGGGTACCTACCATGGCGTTCAGGGCCTCTTGGGCTCGGGCCTCAGGGCTCCTCTTAAGCACAGCCTGGAGCAGCAGCGGGTACTTGGTGATGCGCTGGTGGGGCTTGATGAGCAAGTCACCCAGCATCTGCCTCCCCGAGCGCTTGTGCTTCTCACACCACTATCAGGGGAGGCGGCCAGGGGTCAGGAGGCTGCATGCTCCCTCCTGCCCCACCTAGTGATAAACTCAGCCTAGTGATAAACTGCAGACTGGGATGACCTGGTTGTCTGTGATCCACCCCACCCCCCTTCCCTAGGCATCCCCTCTCCCACCTGTATGAAGGCCTGGAAGAAAGGGTTGTTGTCTTGCTGTTCCCGGGCATAAGCCATGGTCTGTTTCACTTGCAGGCAGTACTGGACATAGGGCTGGAACCACTGGCTAAACTGGAGAGACAGAAATAGGGGGCAGGGGACAGGAAGAGGAAGAAGGTCATGAAATAGAGACTCTGACTTCAGAGCATGGGAGCATGGTGGGGAGATGGCCTCACACAGACCCTCCGTCCAGCTCCTGCCAATCCCTACCTCCCACAATTGTGTTCACAGCCAGGCCCCTGTCTCTGGATTCCAAGGAGGTCCTGAGAGGTAGACCCACTGCTGCTTTTTGAGCTCCTTCCATCCATAGCCCTGGCCATGGCCTGCTTCTCTGGCCTTACTGCCCACTCTCCCCCCATCAATAATTCAGCCAGAACGTTTTCAGGCCACTGCAGATCCTATTTCACCCCTGGAGTGGGTGGCAACCTGAGGGTTGTCCAGAAGACCTGGTCCTATGGAAGGGGGTGCCTAAGGCTTCCAGGAGACTGTTCTCTCACCTCTCCACCCCATCCCAACTCAGCAGGGACCATCGTTTCCTCACTGGGTAAACTTGTGGAGGAAAGTTTGATCCTAGGCCCTCTTGTTTCTCTTATGACTCTTCTCCATGCTCCTAGTGCCCCTGCCCTCAGTCATCCTAAAGAGCATCTCCACTGGGCCCCATTCTTGCTCCCAGCTGTTTGTCAATGAGAGTCTGTACAAGACTAAGATTTTATAGTTGGTAAGAGCTTAAGTGTGACCCTCCCCTTAAATAGCTACATTTTCATTTCGTAATGGTCTCCAGAAGACCAAAGAACATTTAAGACAGAGGTCATGCGGCAGAATGAAGGGCAGGGGGTGAGGTGGTATTTTAGGCTAGGGGCTGTGCCCTGTAGCACCCTCAGATCATGGAGGAAATTGAGTCACATAGCAAGCCCTAGCAGCAGGATCCCTCTGGGGTCACCTGGTCCTGCCCCATCCAGATGTAGCCCTTCCTCATGTCTCACCATCAGGAAGCCGTTTTGCAGGCTGACAGGGTTCAGAGGCTGGCCTGAGGCTCGAGTCTCCTCCAGGATGGGTCCCAGCACCTCCTCCCAAAAGCTCCGGTGGGCTCGAATCAGGCTGGGGACATTTCCAAACAGGGTCTCAACAGACACCTGGAGGAGGGAATAGAGCTTAGAAACATGCCTTCAGTAGGCTGATCATCAGGCAGCACTGGCTATGGACACGGGGGACCCCTAAGCTCAGATCTGGGCGGGGGGGAGGTGGAAGGGGTGGGGTGGAAGGAGGCATGAGTCTGAGAGTGGGCCTGAAGAATCTAAGGGCTCCAGCTTGCTCTTCCACCTCTGTTACTTCAGTGGGCTGAGTACTGGGGGACCTGGGGCCTGCTTGGGGTCTTGAGCAAGAAGAGGTGTAGAGTGTGCAGGAGGTGTCCCAGAAAATGGGCGGTGAGAACTCAGACTGGGCAGCCTGGAGGGCTCCCTGTGAACCCATCCCCGACTCCCTGGGCTCAGAGCTTAGGATGGGCAGGCCCCCACTCACTTCTGTCAGCAGTCCCACTCGCTGCAAGTTCAGCAATCCGGCAGCTAGGAGCTAGACACAGGGAGAGAAGCGAGGGTCTCAGAGTGTGACTTCACTCCTCTCAGGCCTCCAGCTGACCTCTTCAATGTCCTCCATCCCCACCTTCAGTACTGCCAACCTCTCTCCCCACACCCCAGGCAGGTCTGAAATCAGGGGGCTTGTTTGGTATTCTGCCCCTCCCTTCTGGCCTGGGAGAAGGGGGGATAATGCAAGAGAGATGGGTAAATAGCTGAGGATGGGGCCAGGGCTGGGCTTGAGGGAGGCTCACATCAGTCATGATCTTGAGCTTTGTCACATAGATCACCTCAGTGGTCAGTAGCTCCCATAGTGCTTCCTGTTGGTGGCAAAGCTCCCGGCTCATCTCCTGGAGTGGGGATAGTGATGGTACACTTGGAATGATGACAAAAACAACAGCCAAAAAAAAACCAAACCTGTTGCCGTCGAGTTGATTCCGACTCACAGTGACCCGACAGGACAAAGTAGAACTGCCCCACAGGGTTCCTAAGAGCAGCTGGTAGATTTGAACTGCCAACCTTTCTGTTAGCAGCCGAACTCATAACCACCGTGCCACCAGCGCTCCAAAACAACAGCTGCTACCTTTTATTAAGTGCTACTGGAACCTACTTAATAAGTTCTGGGTACCATGGTTGTTAACAGTGCTGTCGAGTCGATTCCAACTCATAGTAATCCCATGTGTGTTGGAGTAGAACTGCTCTATAGGATTTCCTTGGCTATAATCTTAACAGAAGATAACTCGGCCTTTTCTTCCATGGTACCACTAGGTGGGTTTGAACCACCAACCTTTAGGTTAGCAATTGAACACAAAGAATTTGTGCCACCTAGGGACCTTCGAGTACTCTGGTAGACATTTTAAATACTGTACATGATCTTTTAATCCTCAAACCAATCCTCCAGTATGTAGGTGGTATTATTCCATTTTACAGGAGGTGACTGAGGCTCAGAGAGGTTCACTATCTTGACCAAGGTCTCACTAGTAAGAGGTAGAACCAGGATTTGAACCTAGATATGACTGTCTCCACATGCTTTTCCACATGGCCCCACTTCCTGAGGCCTTTCGCTCCTCCCAGTGCAGAGCTGAGATGTGTGTCTATAACAAGGTGGGGACAGACACTGTTACAGACCCACCTTGTGCCTAGGCACCAGCTCCCTCCAGGACTTCTCGATGGCCAGACTGCTGTCACTGCCTTCTCCTATCTCCCAGTGCCGCCGGTCCTCAGGGGGCAGGCGAGGCATCCCAAACATGCTGAACGCCTGCAGCCGCATCTCCAGCTCGTGGGCCTTAGTGACCTCCTAGGGGAGTCGAGAAAGGGATTAGTTCTGACCACAGCCCTGGTGCCCAGCCTACCTGGCTTGGGGAGAGCTTCGTGTGTGCATGTATGTGTGTGTGTGTTTGTGTGTGTTCGTATCTGGGAAACAATGGGAGGTGGTAAGCAGCACTGAGAATGAGTAGGGGCATGGTGGCCTTGAAGACAGGGATCATTTCCACCTGGAACGGCAGAGGAAAGGGCACTGTTGGAACATAGACAGAGAGACACCTTGGCCTGCAGAAAGAAGGCCTTTTCTGCAGGGGCCTGATTTGGGTTCTCTGGCCAGAAAAATTTCTTCCAGGAGTTTCCTAAGATGGAACCCTGGGAGCGGGGTGCAGAATCAGACCCTTCAGAGGGACCTTCTGGTGGAGACCACAGCAGTACTTAGGGAACCAGTGGTCTCAGTCAACATTTTCATGTGGACATTTTTTCTGTGGCAACATGGCTTAAACTTTTTTTTTCTGGTTACCAAGTAATGTGGACAAAAATATTCCTGACCTTCACTCCATCCTCAATTTGGCTAGGGAGAAGGGGTGAGGCTCACAGTTGGCGTGAAGGATGAAGTGAGGCTTAGGGTAGAGTAAGTATATTTGGTTCTCAAGATAGTTGGCAGTTTTAAAAAGCTAGAAGTTTAATATTAACAGTTTATCCTTTAAACTACATCAAAATGTCCTCAGTCCAAGTCACTGGTTCAATGGCATGGATCAAGTAGGGTAGAGACAGACCCCTGAGGGGGTCTCTAGGCAGAGCTGTATCTGACTTCTTGGAGGGGCTCCAGGCAGAGACAGCCTCCTTACCCTGTGCTCTCAGCCCCTGGGGTTCACTAGGCCTGATCTGGGTGAACATGGGGGTGGGAGAAGTGGGACTTCTTACCTTGAGTTTGGGCGAGTAAGGTGGCCCAGCCCCCAAATGGCCCCCATGCCGCTTCTTAGGCCCTGGTTCTCGCAGCCGTATGGGAGACAGGCCCCGGGCCTGGCCAGAGCTCTTGGTGAAAGGGACATAGTTCTGGAGGCGGCGGCGACTGGGATCCTGGGAAAGGAGCAGGGCATGTGGTGAGGGGTCCCTCCTTTCCCTCAGAAGTCCCAGATAGTGGGAGGCCAGGCTTGGCTCCAGACATGGTTTTCCTCTGAAGTTGGGTTGGCTCACCTCTCCCCTCAAACCAGTTTGCTGTAGCTGCTCCTGCCCTGAGTCATGGCCACTGCTGCCAGCGAGGCTAAGCTGAGCTGGGCAGGGACATGTCGACCTGGCTTCCCAAGTGGCTCCCCCAAAGCTGGAGCACACGCAGATACATGCCAACAGTGCCTGCCCTGTACACGTGTGCTCTCTGCACCATGGGCATGCACGGACAGCACAAGGGGCACACTGCATGTAGGTCCCACTCTACTTCCTCTGTCAGTGGCCAGCCTCCCTCACACGTGGGGATGAGGGCACACACATGTGCGGCCTCTTCCCCTGGGGTGTCAGTTGGCCTCTCATCCAGTTGGGAGCAGCTGCTCTTCTGTGTGAGGGGGAGGCCATGGCTGAGTCCCCTCCCAGGCAGGCCTGGTCACATTCCTCAATCTGTCTGTGGCCTGAATTACCCCACATACTTCCTAGTCTCCCTTCCCGCCCTCAGCCTGGGGAATCTCCCCTGCTGTCCTCCGTCTCTGAGGGCCAAGTCCTCCTGCAGTGAGGCAGGGGATACCCCAGCCGGAAGAACTGTTCTCAAGGTGGAGGGAAAGCCTGGAGGCTGAGGGAAAGACTGGAGCTTCCGCTTTCACACCCTTTTCCTTGGTCAGGATTGGAGGTGAGCCAGGAGGTGGGGCCAGGGGTGGAGCCAGGGCAGGCCCCCCACACCCACCACTTATAATGTAGGGTCACCCTGAACCTTTGCTCTTCCTCCAGCTCTGACTCAGAGCAAGTAGATCTGAGGGAGTCCACAGGCTCCTCCCAAGTAGAGGCAGGAACCTGGGAGGTGCCAACCCTGGGTTTTGGTGACCTTACGCCCCAGCTCTGTGCCTGAGACCTGTCTAACAGCACCTCCTCTGTGGGCCTGGCTTCTCCTGGATCTCTGCCTTACCTGCCCAGGCTGTCTGGCACTGGGGTTCTGAGCCCTGGGAGCCTGGCCCAGGCACTGCCCTTCTCTCCCTCGCAACCCAGAAAATAAGAGTAGGGGTAAGGGACAGGAATAGAGCAGCCCATGAACTTGTACAGGGACACAGACCTGAGAGCCTGGGTGCCCTCCCTCCTGCCCCACCCAGGTCACCTTTGGGGCACAGCGTAGGGAGCAGACTGGACTCACCAGCACGGCACCTCCTCGGGGACAGAGACTGCCAGCAGTGCTCTGGGCAGAGGCCTGATGCCGGCCCCCATAAGTCTCGATGCGGGAGGCCACAAGGCCTCGGAGGGGGCCTTCACCTGGAGGACCAAAGGTCGGCATCCTTTCTCTCATGGGTCACTTCCAAAGGGCCATAGCTCCAATGTTCAGGAGAAAGGGGTCCCCTGAGGCTGCAAGAGAGAAAAGAAAGGAATTGAAGGGTTAGGTCAGTGGGTGACACTAAGCCTAGATCAGTGGGTGGCACCAGCCTGTAGACTAAGGACTGGAAGGAGGGAAGCAGGATGGGAAGGAGAAGGCCAAGGGCTTGGTCACTGTGTGTGTGGGGGAGCATGGCTGTCTCATCTATGACTTGGTGAGGGTGGGGGATGCCCAGGCACATGCTGGGTAGAAAGCCCCTTGGAGATATATCTCCTCCCTCACAAGTGCACACATCTGGGGTACAAGCTACTATACTGGCCTCAAAGGATGCTGTAGTCCTGAGAGTAGCTGGGAGCAAGGGTCACAGATAGGTTCCTGGCTTTCAGGATGCTCCCAGGTGGGAGGATTCCCCTTGTACCCGCCCCTCATATGCAGCCTGAAGAAAAGTCGGGGGTGGGGGTGGGGGTGGGGGAGGACTGGTGACTGACTGCCCAACCCAACTTCTGTTTTTGTACAGCCCCGAAGCTAGAATGGTTTTTACATTTTTAAGTGGCTGAAAAAAACCAAAAGAAGCATATTTCATAACATGTGAAAATTATACAAAATTCAACTTTCAGTGTCCATAAATAAAGTTTTGTTGGAACACAGCCACACTTCTTCATTTACATATTGCCCGTGGCTGCTTCTGAGCTAGTTGCGACAGAGATCATATAAAGTCTAAAATATTTACTATCTGGTACTATACAGAAACGTTCGCCCTTTCCTTACCTGGACCCTCCTGGCCTCCGCAGGAAGGTGAGGTAGGGACAGCTATCAGGCCCTAGCCTTAGAGATCAACCAGGTGGGAGCAGGGTTTCTGGTCTTGGGCTACCCCTGGTTTTCCACAGCCTCGGGGAACCCTTCTACGGAGCTGGGAGCTAGGTACGGGGCTCCATTCCTTTCCCCTAAACCTGGAGAGAGGACCCCCTCCTCCGAGTGGGCAGGGCCTAAAGGGACGTAGGTTCAGTGACGCTGTGCTGGTGTTGGTCCCCCCACCAGGAATGCCCGAGAACTCTCCTTTACTTTTTCTCTGAGTCAGCTCTTTTTATGAGCAGGAGGAAAAATCATGCTAAGTCTCTCCGGTCCCCTCCCGATAGATAATCTTCCTTTGAAGGGCTCTGTCTCCCTCTCACTCCTCGCTACCCATGGTCCTTTTACAGCTTTGTCCCATTTCTCTTCCTCTCTCCCTGGGGAGGCCAGGCCTTTGCCCCGCGCCCCGGGTTTCCAGGGTCCTGGCTGCTGCCCGCTCCGCCCCCCGCGCGCCCAGCGCTCAAGCCGCTCACCTGTCCTCTCAGGTGCTCCAGCATCCGCTCCCAGCTCTGCCGGCCCTAGCTCGCGGGGCTCCCGGTCACTGACCGCTCCCCCTGCGATGCCAGCCCTGCTGTCCGGCTTGGGACTGGGACCGAGAGGCCGGCCGGACCCGGGCGGCGCAGAGCCGGGCCGGGAGGGGAAGGTGCCGGGAGAGGGGCGGGGCCGCGGGTTGGTACCGCCCCGTCACCGCGGACACCGGCCGGGTCGCTCAGTGCGGGCGCCAGTGGGGCCCCGGGACGCAGCCAGCACCCTCCCCCGGCAATGAGCACTCACTTCACATTGCCCTCTTCCTCTTTTTCCCTCGCACCTGAATTTACCACCCAACGGGTCCCGGTGGAAGGGTTTGAGCCGTGCGCCACTCTTCTACCCTCGCCTGCTGGCCAGACCCCGGGTAGGCGCTGGAGTAATGGGAGGTAAAGACGCGGCAGGGCTCCTCGGGAGGAGGCGGCGAGGGCGAGTAGCTACCAGGCGATTTGTGGCGGGTGCCCACCCTTTTCGGGTGCAGTGAGTGGCCGGCCATCCCCCTCCTTTTCCTCCCTCATCTTCTTCCACTAACCAAGCATGCGAACCCCGCAGCCAGCGGCAGGGTCCTGGGGCCGGGGAACCCTGGCCACGCTCACGCTGCACTCGCGCTGTAGAGTCCAAAGTGTGACTCTTACCTCTCAGTAGGCCCCGCTTCCCGGCTTCTTCTGGACTTTACCTTTGCTCCAGGGATGGAGCCGCGTGCCAGGCTGAGTCCTCGCCCACCACTTCTCCCATTATCTGGACTGGGGTGGAGGGGAAGGCTGTCAGATGGGGGACCCTCACACTTCACTGGCAAATGAGTCTACTCCAGGCTTCACGAGGGCCACCTCTCCCCCGGCCCCCAGCACCTCTGCATCCATCCCATGGCCCGTCGAGTCGATTCCTACTAATAGCGACCCTATAGGACAGAGTAGATAGAACTGCGCCATAGAGTTTCCAAGGCTGTAATCTTTATGGCAGCAGATCACCAGATCTTTTCTCCTGCAGAACAGCTGATGGGCTCGAATTATGGACCTTTTGGTTAGCAGCTGATTGCTCTAACCACTATGCCACCAGGGCTCCTTAAGCATCTATGGTGGCTGCTAAAATTAGCATTGTTCAAGGAAAGGTGCTTAGCTGGGAATTACATGAAAGGACCACATTTTCATATCCCCAAATCATGATACATTGTCTGACACCCGTCTGACAAAAGTGTGGGATATTTGAAATCACAAGTGTCCCATGAGGGGATGTCATTGCTTAGGGGGCACTGAGCTTCTGTAAGAGTGACGGGAAAATCTGGAAATGGATGGTGCTGATGGTTGTACAACATGATGAAAGTAATTAATGTCACGAAATTGTGCATTTAAAATGCTGAAATGGCAAATGTTTTGTTATATATATCTCCATGCCATGGATGCGTGGTCATTATAATCTTATAATCATGAAGCCAAAGACCCTGTAGTGGGCCTGGGGGCAGGTCTACCTCCTGGAATGGGCTGTGAAGAGATTGATACAACTCTTTAGTTTTGTAGAGCACTCTGAAGCTTATGAAACACTTTCAAAAACATAATCTCATTTGATTCCTAGGGGAAGGGTCTCCATTCTCTTCACCTGTTTAGCATATTAAATGCACAAATGATCTGAAGGGCTCTAGTCTTCACTCTGCACCTGATGACTCTATTTTGTTCAGGAAAGGAGTTTTTTTTTTTTAAGTCATTTGATGGTTTCTGATTTTGCCTCCCCTGTCCCCATCCTCATATTTGCCTTCCAATATTCTCTTTTTCTGGCCTTACTGTTATGTGATTGCTCTGGTGGTTCAGAAGAGTCTCCTGCACCTCTAACTCTGCATCCTGCCTCCTGCTTCCTAGTATTCCAGTGGAATCAGTTTTAGGGAGAGAAGCGGGGTGGGGCAGAAACTGTAGGGGTGAGAAAACTGTTTGTCTCTTTCCTCTTCCCATTCATTGTGTGTGTGTGAGAGAGAGACAGAGACAGAGAGAGAGACAGAGAGACAGACGGACATACCTGGGGCATGCCAAGAGTAGCCACAAGGGAACTCACCACCGAGGAGGTGGTAATTACTGACAGTACTAAATGATGCCCCACAGAGAGCCGATGCCAAGGGCCCCTAGCGCTTCTCTTCCCCATGTGTCCCAGAAGGAGGTGGAAAGAGGAGTAAGAGGGAAATTGGAATTGAGAGAGCACCAGAGACAAGCCTGGACTTACAGCCCTCTGGGGTGAACTGGCTGAAACGGGCCCAATGGACACACAGGAAGTTAACCCTTTCGCTTCCTGCAAGGCTGAGGTCCAATCTCCGCCTGCCACTGCCCCAGGGCCTGTCTTCAGCCTCTCTGGGAGGACAGGTTACCAGGGAAAGTTGAAGTCAAGATACAGGAGGTGTAGTGGCTCTGCACAGGCTGTGGGCTGGGAGGTGGGGCTCTCGTGTTCTATTAATTCTGTTCTGGGCTTGTTGCCAGATTGTTTTTTTTTACAATCTTCATTTTCCCTAACCTCCTCTGTGCTGTGGAGAGAAGACTCCTCTGATGGACTGAGAGGGAACACAGCGCAGGGAGCTTAATGAAGTCTAAAGAGTTGAGGGCTTGGGGGGCACCTGGCCCTGGACCACATTAGGACACTTGGATACTTGTCTTTCTTCCTGGCTATGCCCCAGACTTTCTCACATACCTGACTTGAGTCATAGCCCTCCTCCATGCCTCAGTTTCTCCCCTAGTATAGTAACTTTCATCAGCCCCCAGCTTGACTCCACAGCTGATGAGAGGATGTTTGTCTGTCCAGGACTGGAGCTCTGAAGATCAAAAGCCTCTGTCCAATGGTGGCATAAGGATGACTTTCTGGGGCTAGTATAGAAGGCTCCCGTCCCCTTCTGTCCATCCTCATCAGGCAGGAAGGGCAGGGATACTCACTTGAGCAGTTGGAACCACTGAGCCTTGAGTTCTGTCCAGCCCACACCTCTCAGGACAGGGTGGGGACCACCTGGGTTAATGAGGTGCTAGCAGTCACCAGCAGTAGGAAGCAGCTAATGGGAACTTGTGTTCTCCTTGCCCTAGAGTCAGGGAGAGGATCGGAAACTGAAGACTTGAGCCGGGAGGCGCCGGGACATGTGAGGCAGATCAATACCACTGAGTACAGTTGCCAGGTCCTCAGACCAGAAATTTCGTTCTTCCCTCCCTCCATTCGTTCCTTCCACATCCACTGGCAGTGTTTACCTGTGCAAGGTACAGGGACATATAAGTGAATAAGAGACAGTCCCTGACCTCAAGGAGCCTACAGACTAATGGAGAGACAGGTTGGTAATGGAAAATTAATGTATAAGTATACTAAAAAGAATGAACCAAGATCTGTGGGAGCACTTTGGGGGACTAGTAACTGCTCAGGGGAGCCAGGGAAGGCTTCATAGAGGAGGTGAACTTTGTGCTGGGACTTTAAGGGTGAGTAGGAGTCTGCTGGGCAGAGAAGGGGGAAGGGTATTTCTGGAAGAGGGAACAGCATAAGCTAAGATACAAAGATGTGGAAGAGCATGTTTAAAAAAGAAAGCAGGAAAGGATAGGCTTTCCCAAAGGCCCCTCCAGAGTCTGAACTGATGGTGCCCTGGGGGCATCTCATCCTCTCAGCTGTGGTCCCTGGGTGGTAGCTTAGAAGGATAAACTTCCTAGCATTC